CAGGAGGAAAAAAATGCACATTTGATGACTGAAGAGAGGTGTATGGACACAACTGGGGACTACTTTATAGTATGTGCATTCTACTCCCTGGGGTTTATGCCTAGGATCAGATTTGGATACATGTGTAAGGATATGTCAGCTGTGCTAGCTAGTGGATATATTTAGACAAATTGAGTTCATTGGTAGAACAATTGAATGGGGGGGGCGGAAGGCATTGAGGGCAATCATGAATGTCAGGGACAATGGAGGAGGAAGATGGGACATGGCAGAGGGTGGGGATGGGGAACCTAGGATGGCAAAACAAAAGGCAAGGTATGCAGGACACAAAAATTGGGAAATCATTTGCTGAGAACATATATGTTGATGTGCTTGATTGAGCCAATGCACAGTGTATTTTGGATGGAAAATTCATATGTGTGTTGTGATGAGAAAAGAAAAAAAAATTTATAATAATAATAAAAAAAAAAAAGAAGTGAAGGCTCTAGATAAGGCTAATCAGGTTTAAAAAAAAAAAAAAAAAGAATGTCATTGGATTGGTACCATGTTCCTCAACTATGAAACATAAATACATGGGATAAAGAATAGTTTCTCTTGGGAACCAGCAGTTAGCGTAATGGCTATGTCGCTGGACTCCCACGTAGTCGACCGTGGTTCATGTCCCGGACCCGGTGGCTTAAAAAACTCATGCTGGGCGCGTGTGTGTGTGTGCCCAAGATCCCGAGAGGAGAATGGAGGAGAAGGGATTGCGGCGTGACCATCCCCCCTGGGGGGTGATTTCTCGCTTTCTGTCTATATGTCTCTCTCTGTCTGTCTGGCGAGCGCATGCGCCCTACAGTGAAAATCTCTCAAAAAAAAAAAAAAAGAATAGTTTCTCTTGATAAACAGATACTGTAGACAGTAAAATAAAATAAAATAAAATCATATAAAATTTTTAAAAAAAGGTAATACCTTTACATATAAAGGTGGCAAGGGGATTTAGTAGGATGGCTGGCCAGTAGAAGATTTTGCTCCCCACCACTCTCCACCTTTTGTCTCCTATGTCTTAGTTGCATAGGCCTTTGTTTGCTGCCTCATAAGGCCCCTTTTAACTGAATACAGAACTTATTTTTCTTTTTTATTGAAAAAGGGCATGCATGCTCACCAGAGAGGGGGGAAAAAAGGCACACTCAGTGAGCCAAGGCCATACTTGGCCATCCCCCCACCTCCATTTCTCTCTCTGTCACGATTTTGGTCACACCTACACACTTGCCTAGCATGTTTCTCAAGTTACCACAGCTGAGACTTAAACTGTGATCAACCACGTGGGATTCAGCTACCTAACTACTGTGAAGGGCGAGCCCCACAACAAATTTTAACAAGCACCCAAGGGTGGCTTTGCAAGGCAACTTTACACACCACATAAGGCCACTGGAAAGTCATCCCATTAAGGCATCTGACCCTCTTCTCACCTCCTGGAGGCTTCTTTTGTTTAGGGGCAGCACTTTGGTCTCAGTCAGTGGACTGTTCATCAGTTTGTTCTGCAGGAAGGAGAGCACGCTTATCAGAACCTGTCGGCTTCCCTGGCTGGGAAAGGCTTTCTCAACCTTCCTGTTTCATTTTCTCTTTCACACGAATAAATGTGTTTTCCCTCCTCTCTCCTTCACGCTGCCTCACTGTAATATAGTTCAGCTGCAGAATCTCACCTGCCCCTCTAACCCTTGGAGGAAAAGATGAGGCTCAAGTCATCACTTTTCATGTTGTTGTTTTCCTCCATTTGGACCTAAAATACAAAACAGTCACATTTCAGGATAAAGATCCTTCCACCTCCAAGCAGGCTTGGAAAAGAGGATGGGCCGAGAAGAGATTTTTATCTTGCCACCAAGAAGCTGGCTTACCATTAAAAAACAGCACTGCCTTCACACTAAATCTCAAAATAAAATGATCTCAATATGTACCCAATGTAACTGCTTTGCCAACCTATTATCACTCTGGATTACTAAAAGCAGCAAAATGCCGTGTTCCTGCCCAGAGTGAAAGGGATAGCCATTAGTCTGCTAGTTGAAATGAATATCAATTTTTTTTTGGGGGGGAGAGGTTTTTGCTATAGGGAGCGTGTGCTCACCAGAAAGGCAGAGAGAGAGACAGAGAGACAGAAAGCAAGAAATCACCCCCTGGGGGGATGGCCACGCCACAATCCCTTCTCCTCCATTCTCCTCTCGGGATCTTGGGCACGCACGCACACGTGCCCGGCGTGAGTTTAAGCCACCAGGTCTGGGACTTGAACCACAGTCGACCACGTGGGAGTCCAGCAACAGCCATTACGCTAACTGCTGGTCCCATGAATATCAATTTAAAATGCAGATTTATTTTTGCTTAATCACTTAGCAACTCTTCAATATTTGGATATATATTCATCAGGGTGATAACAAAGTTTGAGATCATTCAGAGGTAATGGAATACCCATGTTTAATTCCCTCAAAGAATACTGAGAGAAAATATGTGTCCCTATTCATTCTGCTGTGATGAGTCGCAGAGCCACGACTTCAGTCTGTCCCCTCTCTCATTTCCTATTGCCGCTGTACAGGTCCAGGCCACCATTCTCTCTCCTCTGCTCTCCTCCTTGGCCTCCTAAGTAGCTGTTGGCCCTGCATCTCATTCTGCTCCCTCCAATCCATTCTCTAAAATTATCTTCTTAAAACTTAAACTGATCCTGTCACTCTGCAACTTAACACCCTTTAAAGCTTCCTTTACTATCTGCAAATCCTTTAAGGCTCTGATGAAATCCTGCATGATCCAGCAGCCCCACCTCCTTCCCTGGCCTCACCTCTCATCCCACTCTGCCTCCCTGGCTGTGTCTTCTACTCTGACCTCTGGGCCTTCACACACATGCTGGTCCCCTGTCTGGGATTCTATTCTCACACCTCATTGGTATATCTTCCATGGCTGAACATAAATGGCCCTCCATCAAAAAGGCCTTCCTTGACCTTCCAGGTGAAGTTCAGGACTCCTGGTATATTTCCATATGGTACCCTGACCTTCTCTTATCAGGTAGCTCAGTTATAAATCATTATTCAACAACCTTGAGCCCCAAGAGTATACACACCAGTTCTGTCTAGTTCACTGTTGTACCCTGGGTGCCTAGCACAGGGAAGATATTTAATAAGCACTGCCTGGCTTCACAGAGCTTCGGAGAATTAAGCAGCTACTCTTTTACTGTAACTGTGAGCTCTGATGTCTTTGATTACTCCAGGAGCCACTGGGATTGAAGATCGACTGCAGGAAGGAGTTCCAGATACAATAGCTGCTCTTCGTGAAGCTGGGATCCAGCTCTGGGTCTTGACTGGAGATAAGCAGGAGACAGCGGTCAACATCGCCTATTCCTGTGGACTACTGGATCAGACCGATACAGTTTACTCCATTAATACAGAGAGTCAGGTGAGGCCAAATAAGGACCAGATATTCAAGTACAGAGCAGCCCCTCAGCAACAGGTGAGGCTTATAGGTGAGGTCTGGTACAAAGAGAACCACGCGCACTACAGAAACATTGTGGAACTCTGGAGCTTAGCAGGCCTCAGAAGACATCGAGTCCAATATCCTCTACCTCATCCCCATTCATGGTTTACCTGTCTCTTTTGTCTTACTTCTAACAATACTTATTAGAAAGCTTTACCTCTCCCAAATTCCACCCTTGGTCCAATCTTCCCATTTTACCATCGAGGAAACTAAAGGTCACTGGAGCTAAGTCATCTGTCCCGGTTTCACCCTGCTAGTTTCCAACAAAATTAAATCTAGAACTCTGTGCATCTGCTGGGTCAGTGCTACGTACACTGTTTGCTCACAAAACCTCAACTATCGGTTTCTTACTACCAAAGATTAATTCATCCATTGAGAAAGCCCCAATTAAATTGGAATTATTCTGAGTTTAACACCACCAATTTATATGTCAAATTAGTCTGCCACAGAGTAGAAACCTGAAGGGAACAATACATGAAGCCAGTAAGTTTTAATGGGATGGGAGAGAAAAAGAAGCAAAATTCTAAAACTGCAGTGTGCATCAGATTAGGTTGGAGTACGGAGGGCAGGCAGGGAGTGAGGTTTCAGGAAAGGGCTGTGTGCAGCCTGAAGAAGCATATCCAAAGTTCCAATATACTGTGGCCTAGCCTGGCAGCACTCTCTGCAGCATACTGTGTTGCAGTGCTAGAAGCCACACTGCTGACCAGATTTGGATCCCTGAGGTCAGCCTGAAAATGTGTGCCTGGGCACCCAGGATCCTAAGGAGCTGAAGGACTGGGGAGAAGGGACTACAGCATGATGAGACCCTGTTAAGAGTGCTTTCTCTTTCTCTATTTCTCTCTCTCATGCACGTATCCATACACTATCATTAATACAAAAAGGTGTATTTAGGAGGGAAAATCTACTTTAACAATGTAAACTGCAGACAGTAAAGTTTCATCATCTTCATGGCTAATAAATATGGGAAGTAGGCACTGAGATATAGTCTCCTATCAGAAGGGAGGAAAGATGGGATTCAATTAAGGAAATTCCAGGAAAGCCCAGCAGTCCAGGAGTGGGAAGCAGAGGGCACCTGCAGGCCTAGGGCATACCATAGGGGAAGGATGCAGAAGAAGGAGGAGACCAGAAGAATGAAAGCAGCCAGAAAAGGAGGCAGGGAAGACACTCCCCTCTTTCAGTTTTGTTTAAGGCTGATCCAAACCCAGAATAAAAGTTTGGGGACAACATTTATATTTTATTTGTAGTCCATAAAGAAACCATATACACATATTAAAAAAAAAAAATCCAGCCCAGTTGCCCAGCTGCAGTGACACACACAGCTATGACACTGCGCTGCACAAGCCGGGGCCACATGGGAGGTCCAGGTTAAATTCCTCATCCATCCTAGAGGCCAGGAATGGTGGTATAGGCCTATGGTCCTAGTGACCTGGGAGACTAAGGCAAGAGAACCACAAGCTTGAGACCAGCCTAGGCAACACAATGAAACTAGGTCTGAAAAAGGACCAATGGTTATCAGGACCAGGTAATGACACAAGGTTAATGCAACTAGACCTATATGAGAAGGTCCGAGGAATCTTGAGGTCTCCCTGTACATGTCAGGAGCATGCACATGTGTGCCTGTGATCCAGACTGGCTGGCACTGGGGGTGGATTGCAGCACAGAAGCCCTGTAGGGGTGATTATATCTCCTTTCTCTCTTCTTTTTCTCTCTCTGAAGAAAGGAACGTTTTTTCTGGCTTAAAAAAGAGCTGGGCATGGTGGCATGCCACCTGTGGTCCCAGCTGGAATGCTACAGCAGGAGGAACACAACATCGTGAGACCCTGTCTTTAAAAATAAAATAAAACACAGAGTATAGAAGATGAAAAATGCCTTAGGTTATTTGGATGAATCGGAAAAACCACCTACTTTCCTGCCAGGTGTATGGATTATGCTAAGATTAAACTCCAATGAAATTTCAAAATGAAAATAATCTTGGGGAAAACTTTGGCTTTAATAATATACTTAGGAAAAAAGTAATTTGCAGCTTGCTTGAATGTCTGTTCCCTGTAATAGAGTTGATACCTGCCTGTCCTGCTCTCAACAGAAACTCCATTTGCAGTGATCCTTTCGCTCTAGGTAATTCTAGAAGGAGAATATCTACGAACCTATGAGACAGCAGTCCTGAGGGGATGGATGGGGCTTCTGTGAATTCTGTTAAATGAAGTACATTCCTGTAGGAAGCTGAAGGTGTTTGTTGATTAACTATCTAAACTTGCCAAGGAACAGGAGGCCACACTCCATGTTTAATCCTGTCATTGTCAATTCTTTTAAAGCTGTCTTCAACCCACCAAAATGGTGCCTGAATTCTTGGCCCTGCCTATACCTCTGGGCCCATTAAACTTGTAGGATTTGTCCTCATCCCCTTGCTGGGAATAAGTGGAAGGTGCATAAATGTTAAGCCAGAAACTAGGGAGATACATTATAAATCTTAGATTTATTTAAATCCCATCTTAATGTAATTACATATTCAGTGGATATTTCCTCCAAGGGCTTTAATTTGCCTAATTCACCATAAATTGATTTAGGGCTACTGCCTTTGTGTGTATCTTAAAACAATAAGCAATTATGGGGCCTATCTAGTCCTCAGGGCACTCATCTATAAAATGAGGGAACTGCTAATCCATCACTAGAAGTGCTGATTTGTCAAGGAATTTTTAAAGGTACTAATATATCAGATAGGAACTAATACTGAAAATCACTATTATTGTTATTATTAACAACATATATTGAATGCTTAAGATGGCCCAAATACCACACTTCTTGAACTTCATTCTTCTCATCTGTTAAATTATGTATTAAAAATAGGTACTTTATGCCAAGCACATGCTTGTCCATAATCTGAGGCTGAATGAAGTCTAAGGGGTGGACTATAGCATCAGGACTTTGTTGGGGAAGCTCACTCTCAATATCTCTCATCCTCCTTCTCTCGGAAAACATAATAAACTTTAAAAATAAATACGGTGACCACAAGGTGGCATAGGAGCAAAACATGGCACTCTGTAAAGGAGACCCACATGGAAAGTTGCTGGTTCACACCTGGAGCCCTTCCTGAGTATGTGAGACATGCATGTGACCATGAGCTGGGTTGGCTAAAGCTAGGGGATGGAGCACAGTGTGAGACCCTAGGGGGTGCTATATCTCTGTTTCTCTCTCTCTCTCTCTCTCTCTCTCTCTTGCTCATAGAATAAATGAATAATTTTTTAATGTACTTTATAGGCTACTGGGAGAATTAAGTAAGATCTTAGAAAGAAGTACTTACTTAGCACAGTACCTGTGTTAGGTGTCTATTGTTGAGAAAACAAATTACCCCAAAGTTTAGCAGCTGAGACAACAGACATTCATTATCTTATGGTTTCTGTAGATCAAGAGTCCAGGAGCCTCTGATGGCTCTGCCTCAGGTTCAAAATTTCTCTTAAGGTTGTTGTCAAGCTATCAGGGCTGTGAGCTTATCTAAAAGCTCAATGGGGTAGGTGATTTGGTAGTGGGAAGAAGTCCTACTTCCAGGCTCACCCACATAATTATGAGAAGTTATGTTCCTTAACCTGTGGGCCTCTCTATAAGACTGCTACAGAACACCACAGCTGGTTTCCCTCAAGGCAAGCCATCCAAAAGGGAGTGAGAAAGAGTGCCAAACTACAAACCACAGTCTTTTTATAACCTAATGTAAAGGGAGAAGTGTCATCCCATCAGTTTTGCAGAATTTTCTTTATTAGAAAGGAGTCATTAGGTCCAGTCCATAGTCAATGGAAGAGCATAACTACCAGGAAGTGGAGGTCACTGGGAACCACCCTAAAGGCCACCTACCCCAGTTACTGGCATACATCAAATATTCAACAAATAGTAACTATTGTGATTATTACTTAGAAAAGCTCAAAATCAGTAACTCCAGAGATTTAATTTTGAAGCTTGTATCTCCAATGACTTGCAGCAGTCATATATTAAAAGAATTGATGTAACTAGTACCAACTGCAACTTCCAGAAGGATCACCTTGACCTTCTGTCAGATAATGCCTCTGGTATAACCACTCATATTTGGAACTACTTCTTATAGACTCTAAGGCTCTTTGCATACTCTGTTGCCTACAGCCCCAGAAGGAAGTCTCAAGAATAATGATCTCTAGCTCTTTTCACTCCAGAAGGAATTATTCCAGATGTCCCCAGATACAAATCTCTACATCAATGTTCCCAAGCCTGTCATTTCACAACTACTTTCACGATTTTTGCTAAAATCCAAATAAAACATATACTGTTTTCACTTAATGATTTTATTTAAATTGGCTCATTCTGAGCATTATTTATTTTCAGAAGAAATGTTTAGCACTCTAATAAGTGAAAAATCATAATCCCTCCAAAAGAACACTGTGAAATGGAGACCATCTGAAATGAAACAAGATTGCTAAAATTGATAATAATGGTTGTCTGCCACAATGTTCTCTATCTTTGTTAAAAGTGATGTTTACAGAAGTTAAAGAGTTATCAGGGATATAATTAGAATCAAAATCTTATTTTATCTTTGATATCATTAAATAGAACAGAATAGAACTGACAAAAAAGGAAGTAACTTCCTATCTTTCAAGGTAAGCACTAAAAAAAAAAATCAGTAAGAAGTTTCTTTCAATCAATAAGACTTCCACATACATGGTCAATTTAAACCAATATAACCAACACTAGATAAGATGGTTCTTAGCAACCTCCATGGAATAGATCAAAGGACAAACACAGGGCCAATATGTTTTGTTTTTTCTATTTTTAACTTGAAAGCCATAGTTCAAGTAGTAATGATCCTGCCTTCACTGCTACGTTTGACTGACCTTGGGTGAACTAACGTTCTCATTGTTCCATTTTTTTCACCTCTAAATTAAGATTGGCAATACACAACCTACCTACCACACAAGAATTTTTTTATGAACCAAAGAGAACAGAAATGACCTGTGAGAAATAAAAAGGAGCAACCCAACATGACATATTTTCATTATTTATCATCATATTAGTACTACAGTAATCCTCCTTATCTATGTGAGTACATTGCATAACTCCCAGGGAAAGCCTGAAGCCACAGACTGTATTTTCTGTACATACATACCTATGATAAAGTTTAAGAAATTAATAACGATAATTACTAATAAACTACAACAATTATAATATAATTCAATACAAGTTTTGTGAATATAGGTCTCTCTCTCTTTCTCTCTCTCTCAAAATATTTTAATGTACTGTAGCGCCAGTGACTGAAACCATAAATAGTTAAACAGTGAGGAAGAGGAGAGTGCTATATTATTACCTTATACCATATTGTATCCATCCCCATCTTTCTGAGCTATTTCTACTCCCTTTCCTAAGCAGTATTTTTGCTCCAAATTAATTATTTCCTTGATGCAGTTTCAAAGTACTGAAGAGAGATATAAAAAATAGAGAATACTTCCAAAGTAATTTCTATGGTAATAATTTTATAACTATCTGACTAAAGAATAAAATGAAAATTTTAATATACATTTCCACAGTTGCTTACTAATATGATATTATTACTTCTCTTTATAGGAAACCTGTGAATCCATCCTCAACTGTGCACTGGAAGAAATAAAGCAATTTCTTGAACCACCAAAGTCAGATTATGAGCTGTTTGGTTTTCACCTCTCTTCTGAGACACCATCCACTACCTCAGGAGCCGGGATTCCAGAATTTGGATTGGTCATAGATGGGAAGACACTGAATGCTATTTTCCAGGGCAAATTAGAGAAGAAGTTTCTGGAGTTGACCCAGTACTGCCGGTCTGTCCTGTGCTGCCGCTCCACTCCACTCCAGAAGAGTATGGTAGTCAAGCTGGTGCGAGACAAGTTGAGCGTCATGACCCTTTCCATAGGTACCCATCATGCTGTAATGTGGGTGGCACTTGGCAGGGATGATCTGACAAGAGGCCTAGACCACAGGTGTGAGGTCAGGGATCAAAGTCAAGGGTCAATGACTTAGGCTAACAGTCACTGTCTCAGAGAGAGAGTTCAAAATAACAATCAAGATGTGACTAGGAAAAAAAAAAGACATGACAACTAGGAAATGAAGCAGAGGCTAATAAAGTGAGAGAGTGAAGCAAAGTCCTTGGGACTTAGCAAGCAAACTAAAGAAAAATTAGGAGTTAAATAGAGGTCAAACCAACAGGACCCTTGAATTCACAACGCCTAGGTAGCTCAAGCAATGTTACCACCAACAACACACACTGAGCCCATCCAATTCTGACAGCATATCCTCCTTCCTTCAGTATTTTACACATGGCAAAACCTCAGGTGTTAGGGATTTGATATTCTTCTGAGTGTTGATGGCTGGTGAAAAGACTTTTAAAAATTGGACTGTCTCATGTTTAATTTTGTATGTTCATTAGGAAATAGGAGAAGGCCAGCACACAGAAAATCCTTAATAAATACTGGCTATTTGGCTAATGAATTACTCAAGGAGACTAAACTTTAATCATGTTGAGGCAGAGAAGTAAAACTATACTTACTTAACACTTTCCAGCAACAACTGAACCTGGTTTATGAGCAACTCCAAGGATGCAGTGTTCATTATGTTCCAGCCATATGTCTCATCATAGTAACCTTCCCCTCCCCAACATTTGGCTCTCCATGTTCCATCTAGATGACAATACTTACCATTTTCCATGGGCCTTATCCTCCTTAGCTTCCAGGCCTTTTCACAAGTTATTTATTTCCCTCTAAGACTCCTTCTTCCAAGTCCACCTAACTTTGCTTTCCTCTAGGGGCTCCCATAACAAACTGCACTCACAGCTCCAAAGCACTGTTATTCCTTCTGAGAGGACCTCCTCAGTAGACCTTGAGTTCCTTGAGTAGAGGGGCAATGTCAGTCTTATTCACTGTTCAATCCCATGCCCAGCACATACCAAGCATGTAGTAAGCATCACATACACTTAGTGGCAGTCTTACAGATGGTACTAGCCTCTCTTCCTCCTACTGAGGTATGAAAGGAGATTTTCTTTCCTGGTATTTTAAACAAGAAGTCTATTATATATTTTGAGTTTTTCCTGGTCCTCAGGTGAAATCAATCAGTTCAGAACAAAAAAAATAGGGTGGGGGTTTAGGAGAGAGGGACCTAAAAACAAGGCAGGGAACAGACCTTTAGCAACTTTAGACCTACTTTTATACTCTGAATTGTGCTCTAGACAATAATCCAGGACTGATTCTCTGAGGTCAGAGATTGGCTTCACTCCCATAGCAACAGAAACAAAACCAGCAGGGCAAGAAATAGCATAGTTCCAACCTCCACTTCTCCTGGTTTGCTAACAGAAGATGTTAAAGGTTGAATTTGTTCTACCATGGGGAATATTAAAATTATACACTGCTATGTGACCAAGAAAAAATAATTGTTGTTAAGAAAAAGGCTACCTATAATGACAAAAATCTTTAAGATTAGTAAATTTGTTGTTAGATAATTAAGGGAAGAATTATTCTGTCTCTCTCCCCAGTTCTATATTCTCTATATAAATAATATAAGTTTAACTGCAGCTTATTCTGAGAAGCTACTGGAAAATGAAGTGAGGCCAGGAAGAGAATGAAGACAATGTAATCTAAAACAGAAGTTGGGAAACAATGGCTTGCAGGTTAAGTCCAGCCCCTTGCATGTTTTTGTGCAAATACTAATAGTTTTTATATTTTTAAATGTAAAATTTATAAAAGACTACTACCTTTCAGCAAGAACAATTCATTTTTTCTTCTTGGCACAAAAAGCCTCAAATAATTACTATAGGACTTTATAGAAAAAGTTTGCTGAAATCCGATCTAGAAGATAAAGAAAGTATCAGGAAGAATCAGGCTTCTGGAGAAGCCTTCATTATATACAGCTATGTTTAGAGTTACACCATCGAATTATATATGGCTACTTACATTAAGTTGAAATTACAAAGAATTTTACCAGTCATCTTTCTTTCTTTAATATTTACTTATTTATTTTTATTTGTTATTATTATTATTTTTAATTTGACAAGAAAAGGAGAGAGAGAAAGAAAGTGAGAAAGCAAGCTACCAGGTCCAAGACTTGAACCATCATCGGCCACATGGGAGTCCAGTACCTTAACCTCCATGCCACCTGCCAGTCCCACCAGTCATCTTTCAATAGTCACAGGTGGCTAGTGGTTTCTGTACTGTGCAAATTTAGATACAGAACATTCCTATTACCACAGAAAGATCTACTTGGCAGTCCTAGTATAGAGGGAGGCCAAGTCCCTGTGTGTGTGTGTGTGTGTGTGTGTGTGTGTGTGACTATGTGTGCATGAGTGTGCATTTCCATGGCCTTGCCTCCAGTTTCCCAAAACAACTCAGTTCATTAAATGGGAATGAATGTAAAGTGATTAAACATACCTCAATACAACAACAACAAAAAGTCAGTCAATCTTAGTTTTCTACATTCAGAAACGAAATTAAATGTCCCTCTCCTTGGACACCACTGACCATCTCTGTCCAAACATTCCAGGTGTGTTGATATGGTCAATATTTCACATTAGGCTGAGTTAGGGGAGCACATTGGGCCTGGAATCAGAAACAGCTGAGTTTTAAATCTCTTAGGTCCCTTCACTAGCTGATCACCCTTGCCATGTTTCTAAATTAATCAAACTATCCATTTGTCCATCAGTAAAGTCCACTGTAATATTTGTAGATCTTTTTTGTAAACTGTAAAGCACTCCCCAAGTCTCTCTTGATTGCCGTTGTATCCCCATCACCTAACTTTGTGCCTAGAAAAAAGACATTCAATAAGTATTTGTTAAATAATAAAGAAAAAAATAGAAGGCGAGCCCATGGCATGGTTGTTAAGGCAGCTGGATCCTAAATGGCCAAATGCATGGTTCAAGTCCCGGACCTGGCGGCTTCAGAAGCATAACAGGAATATGTGCATGGGTTCACGAAATCCCAAAAATAGAGAAAGGAAAAGGTATTGCACCATGACCATTCCTCATGGGGATGTGTATATATGGCTTCTTATCCAAAGAAAAGACATCTCTCAGGCCAAATAGAGTAGCAATCACTTTCTGTAAGACCACGTGAAGTACTGTTATAATAAAAGGATTCAGTTATGTAAATGGGGGCTCTGTCACTGAGCAGTTGGACCAGCTGGATCACAAACTCCCTTTTTTCAGGTGATGGAGCAAATGATGTAAGCATGATTCAAGCTGCTGATATTGGAATCGGAATATCTGGACAAGAAGGCATGCAGGTATTATTCCCTTCAATGGTTCTTGTCTTCTCTACTCTCTTTTATCTTTATTGAATATTTTAAGGGATTTTCTACAATATTGGAAGAATTTCTCCCAGAGAGCTTTGCAAGATTATCAGCTGAAAGTTAGGAGTTTTTCATGGCTATATGTAACCTCTATCACATCCCTACTGTCCAGTCCTTAGAAAATAGAGGGAGATCAAAGAATGTTTACAGCCAGCCAGTGGCATCTTTATTCTAAAGCCAAACAGTACCTATTTGAGGAGGGAGGTATAAGTCTTCTAACTCCATGCTTCCCCCCATACTCTCTGAAGTTGTAATGCCTTCCACAAGCAGTAAGAGGCACAAGGATATTTGAGAACAGTTCTCAATTGTCATTTAATCTTAATGGCTAGATTGACTTATAAATTGCTTGGTACACTTTCATGGTGTACTTAATTTAGCCAAAACTCAACCTGGAATAAGCCTACTAACTTGAGCTGCTGAATTTTCTCTTTAAAACATTTTAACACAGATCCCACTTTGTGGTTTTTGAAACATTACTGTATTGCCACCACAAATGCAGATATCTGGCATTGCCTATATTTGTTGAATAGGATGAAAGAGCCTTCACATGGAGGCTCCAAAATAGTTCTGAGTGTTATCCTTTGTGTATCTATCATATATCAGCATCCTGATAGGCACCTCACATTTATTGTCTCATTGAATTTTAATAATTACCACAGGGCAGGTATGTAACAGGTATGTAGCTATAGTCTCAGCTACTTAGGAAGCTGAGGTAGGATTATGATTTAAGGCCAGTCTCAACAACATGACAAAACCCTGCCACTTAAAAAAAAAAAAAAATTAAGTTTTAAAAACATAATAATCACCACAACCCTGTATGTTAGGAACTGTTATTGCAAATTTTTCAAATGGGGAAACTGAGGCTTAGGGAGTTTAAATGACAAAGTTTCATGTCAAAATGTATAGCCAGGCATTTCCAAATCATTTTTTTTCTTTTTTTTTTTTGGAGAGGTTTTTTTTCTTATTGGGCATGTGCGCTCACCAGAAAGACAGAGAGACAGAGAGATAGAAAGCCAGAAGTCACCCCCTACAGGGGATGGCCACGCCGCAATCCCTTCTCCTCCATTCTCCTCTCAGGATCTTGGGCACGCACGCACCTGTGCCCGGTGTGAGTTTAAGCCACCGGGTCCAGGACTCGAACTGTGGTCGACTACATGGGAGTCCAGCGACATAGCCATTACGCTACCTGCTGGTCCCCATTTCCAAATCTTATGTTCAAAGTATTACAAGACAAAGTATACCCTATGTCTTGTTCTGAGTAATCTCAAAGGCAGAAGACATTATTTCATTTCCCTGTAAAGGAAGAGCTATCCAACCATCAGCTCCATGTGTGAAAGGAACCAATGGCCTGTCTCAGAAGGTGGTGAAGGGCACTCAGAGGTTTAAGAATTACTTGATTGGAAGCACTTACTCTCTGGTTAACCATCACATCCCTAGCATGCAGCCTGAAACATACTGGATCACAATAAATGCTTGTTGGATAAATGGATGGAGATGAAGTCCAGGCTAGACCTCTGGTTCCTTCTGGTCTGTTCTTGGATTCTAGTGATCTCTGAATACCCTAGAAGAAAGGATGGGGTGTCCAGGTGCAAAGAGCCACCCAAGAGTGATCATATAACAAGGGATATCTCATACCCTGCCGGCTACTGACCTAGAACAAAGCATGGCCAAGAGAGAGCGTCTCTGGGGTATTGGTGGCTGTGGAAGGAAGTTAATGCATCTGCTCTCTCCTCAGGCTGTCATGTCCAGCGACTTTGCCATCTCCCGCTTTAGGCACCTCAAAAAGCTGCTACTTGTGCATGGCCACTGGTGCTATTCGCGGCTGGCCAGGATGGTGGTGTACTACTTCTACAAGAATGTGGTGAGGAGCCCTATGCTAAACTGCCACCCAGGCCTGGGGAGTCCTTACCACAGGGTGGGATCTCATCACAGTGGTAGATAAAGCATCTCAGTGTAAGGGAATGAGTCAGGCTCACCTGAATTTTTGGATCCCAAAACTGTGCCTTGCCAGTTCTGTGACTTTGGTCAAGATGATTCACTTCTCTGGGTCTCAATTTTCTTTGTGATAGAACAGGGCTAATACTTTCTATTAAAGTTATTGTGAGAATCGGCAGTACTATATGGAGAGCCCCTGGCACAGGTGTGGCCTCTGGAATCAGATGCACTGGTTCAAATTCAGCTCCTATATTTGGTAGTGTCCCTAAGTTTCACCATCTGTAAAATAGGTGTGGTAACGGTACCTTTCTCATATATTTGCTACAAGGATTAAATGAGAGCTTATATATGAAGTGATTGTATATAGTAACACTCTACAGAGTTAGCCATTACTTTTTATTATCATTGTTGTTGCTGGCATTACTCAGAGTTAAATCTCATTAGTAAGATTTATTTTCTGATTGCAAGGAAGAAAGACTTGAAGAATTAGCCTGACCTGTATCTTAGATTTCTTCCCCAGATAGAGTCACCCCAATACAAGAGCTATTTCTCACACTTGGGAGAGTAATTTCCTCATACCATGTAAGGCTGAAGTTCATAACTTCAACCTGCACATCATTTTAGCACCACCAGACTTCCTTACAAAGAGTTCTAGGAGTGCAGGATGTTAAATAAAATATTTATTGGCAAAGATGTTTACAGAGGGGAGATCACTGATTTGTCATGTTGCCTGATTTTAGCATACTGTGTGACCCTGGAAATGTCATTTCCCATCTCTCAGCTTCAGTTTCCTCATGGATAATAGAGAGACTGTGATTCTCTCTGTCCTACGAAGTATTAAGAGGCTTTACAGGGCTGGACAGTGGCATAGAGATAAAATGCAACACTCTGCAAGGTTGACCCACATGGGAAGATTCCAGGTTCACATACAAAAACCTCCCTGAATACACCAGGCATGCATGTGCCAGTGATCCAAGGTTGCCTGAGGTTGGGGTGGACCCCAGAGTCTGGACCCCATTTATAGTGCTTTTTCTTTCTTTTGCATTCTCTCTCAATACATTTTTTTAAAAACAGTCAGAGCTCTGAAAACCACATAGCACTATACAAATACAAACAATTGTGTCTCCTAAAAATACATTAGTTTCTGTATGTTGACAGGGCCCAAAACAAGCACAGACCAATGGAGGTATTAAAACTGTCAGAAAAGTCTTCCATTAACAATAGGTATAAATTAATTTGCTAATTATCCTGATTTTATTATTACACATTATATTCGAGTATTGAAAAATCATCCTATGTCCCATAGATACAGTTAGATAAGTGCATATAAAAATATATGTGTCAAAATGATTTAGCAAATAGGTATTGAAGAAGTTGGAACATTGCTAGACTGAGGGAGGAAACAAAGACCTGAGTTTTTCATTATCTAGCTCGAGGATCTTCGAAAAATCTCCAAGTAGAATATGATTTCTTTTTGCATAAGGAAAAAGGATTAAGACCAAAGTAGTGATGGAAGAGCAACACACTAGCCAAGTACTGGCTACAGAACTGCATGTTTTCCTCTTCCTTCATTCTCCCGGTGTTCCTTTCAGGCTCTTATGTAGTCACCTCACTGAGGATTGAGCCTTTCTGAGCAAAGTTCAATATATATGTAAGTAAACAGAACAACATAGAATACTGTAAATTCAATCAACTGGATGGTAATATTATCTCAGCAAGTCTATGCAAACAAGTCACTCCATGTGACTTCAAACCCACTCTGAGCAAGAAAGAGCATTTACTTAGAATTCAAAATGCCCTGTTCAATTTTGTTTGTTTGTTTGTTTGGGCACCTAAAGGAATCTTTGTTTTGAATAAACACAGCCTCCTCTCTGCATTAAATCTGTGGAATAGAAAAGGAACATTTCCAGCCAGCCATGCTCTCAAAGCTTAAATGATATTTATTTCCAGCCCAATGCCATGCTCGAAATTGCAAAACTGATGCTGCATCATCTCCCCATTGCAATTAGAGGGTGGAGAACTATGACTTCCACATCCAAAACCAATTTTAGAGGGGATTAAACCCCTGCCTGCTCTGAAATTTGAACAATGAATTAATTATTACACTGTAGCTTATTGAGAGGAAAAGCAGGCTCCCAATCTCAGTGATGTTGCCATGGGGTTCAATGCCCTCCCTGCGAAGAACAAAGACTCCAGCTAGGCAGAGGAAGTAGAAACCAGCAAGATCCTACCAGGGCCTTGGAGGAATGATATTAATATTATTATCAATATGTAATATGTTGATTGCAATACTGCAATATTGCTAAAACAGATTAAACTGGATGTTGCCCATCTAATAATCTAGTATATGCTAATACACTGACACATATATGACACACCCAGCATACAGAGAAGCTCAAATAAATTATAATTGGCATTACTACTGACAATAAATAGAGAACTTCCTCAGAAGAACACTTGTCCAGCAGTTAGGAAATGAGAACTAATTAGAGCACAAACTTGCTAAATGATTTCTTGCAAGAATCTTCATGTCTCTGTGTGTCAGCCCCACAGAAACAAGAATTCTAGTCCTAACACCAGGGACAGCTGCTTATCTGATTTTGGCCAAGTCACCAAGCCACATCATGACATGGTAGACAGTAACAATGACCCAGCCCATCTTACAGGCAGGGAGATGATGAGTGGGAAAGAGCTTTAGAAAAAGTCAAGCACAATTTAGGCAGAAGAGTTTCTTATGCATCCTTCCAATTTACAGGACCACTAGGAAAGTACTGAGTAAACCTGGTTGGCATCTTCCCACCAGATTTCCCACTCATGGTTCTGTCTCTCTCTGTTATTCCTGCCTCAATGGCACCCCTTTCGATTTACACAACACTGCCATCCATGTATCATCTATCATGTACTATGGTCCAGGTACTGCTATTCCCATCTGACAGATAAGGAAATGATGCTCAGAAAGGGGAGGCAATCGTTTCAAGGTACAACAGAGCTGGGAATTCCAAGCAGGCCTCTTCCCTTCCAAAATCTGTCCTCTGAACCACCATACCATACTTACTTTAACAAGTTGGTACAGTTCCCCTCAGGTCCTGAAGAACATTAGTAGTAGTAGTAGCAGAAGCAGTAACAGCAGCTCCAGCTGCTGCTCCAAGGATTAGAATTAACATTACAAACAAGGAAAGCAAGGTTCCCAGAGCAGACAGAGCTCCTACCAAACAGCAGATGACCAGCTGCTCAAAGGCCATGCTCTCCACCTGCAGTGCTACGTCAACTTGCTCTTCTGGTATCAATTCTTCTGTGGTTTCTCCGGCTCCACCATGATCGATTACTGGCAGATGATATTCTTCAATCTCTTCTTCACCTCCTTACCTCCTCTCATCTTTGGAGTCCTCGATAAAGACATCTCTGCAGAAACACTCCTGGCATTGCCAGAGCTCTACAAAAGTGGCCAGAAGTCCGAGGTAAGAGGCTCAGGCAGGTGGAGGGAGGTGCCTCAGCGTCTCCTTGACCTCTGACTCGTCTCTGGAGGCATCAGAGAAAGAGCACTGGCCTGGGTGTCAGGAGCCCTGGCCACTGTTCTGCCACTTACATCCCATGCAACTTTGAGTTACTACTCTCCTTTTCCTTGCCTGTTTCTCATTTGATGTTGAGGGTACTGGACCAGACAAGCAGGCATTTTTCTTAATTATATTACACATTAGTATGTGACAGCCCTTCTGAAGGGGGAGAGGACAAGCAGAAAGACCTTATCCTTCTCCATGGGCCCTCTGGGCCTTGAGGCGCATCATAGAACTCCTGTGGCCCCAATTGGGAATCCCTGGGACTAGCAGCTAGTTTGCTCATCACTGGATAAAACACTTAAAAACAAGTGCTTCTACTTTACATCAGAGAAAGCAAAACTTATGATCTAGAACTTAGTATCAGCTGGTGTCAAGGAGACTAAAATTCTGAGTATATTATCAGGTGGCTTCTTAGAAGGCTCAGAGAGCCATGCTGCAGTCCTGAATGATTTGGAGAAATCAGACAGTGGAGACTCCAAGAAGTCAGACTAAGGGAACCAGCAGTTAGAGTAATGGCTATGTCACTGGACTCCCACGTAGTTGACCATGGTTCGCGTCCCGGACCCGGTGGCTTAAAACTCACGTCGGGCGCGTGTGCGTGCGTGCCCAAGATCCCGAGAGGAGAATGGAGGAGAAGGGATTGCGGCGTGACCATCCCCCCTGGGGGGTGATTTCTCGCTTTCTGTCTCTATGTCTCTCTCTGTCTGTCTGGCGAGCGCACGCGCCCTACAGTGAAAATCTCTCCAAAAAAAAGAAGTCAGACTAACACAGCACTAAGGAGGCTAGATGGAGAAGATGAAAAGAGAGATACTGCCTTTAAGAGGCAGCTCTGGGAAAAGGGACTTCAGAATGCCTAAGCATACGTTTGCACCCGGGAAAAAGGAAGACAGAGCCAGATGAGGAATTTAAGAGCTGGTGATTTTTGTGTGTGACCAAACAACAAAGAACCAAGCCCAGTCTAATTCAAAGACTGGAGAGAGCAGCATAGCAGCCCAAGCCAATCAGGCAAAGGAGGCATGGTGGTTCCACCTGTACATCTTGGACTTCTCTAATTTTATCCTTCCCATGGGCGTGCTGGCTGCATAACACAGTACTTGAGTAACTGCCATTAAAAGAAGTTAATGTAGCAAAAACATAAACTGGAAAGGTTTCACTTTCCCAGGGACAGCACAAAGAGTGAAGCACGAAATGAAAAGGCTCGCCTCCAAAGTCATTGAGCTCTGTCCCCTGGGATCTTGTGATCTTGGGCTGTGATTGAGATCGCCTTTTCAAACAGCACTTAGAAACTAGAATCTCTGCATTTACCAAGGTTGTAGTAGCACTAGCAGCGGAGCTAACGATGACAATAATTAATAACTGAGTACTGACTAGGTACTAAGGTTCAAGTTCACTTAGTCTCTGAACCCCAAGCAAATAGGTAGTGTTATTTCCATCCATGTTTTATTGGGGGGGGGGAACAGTTTTCACAGCAGTCATTTTTACAAAGTCACACACTGAAAGAGCTGGGGCTTAAACTACGATCTGTCAGTCCCAGGTCCATGCTCTTAATCAGTCCATCCTATTATAACTAAGATAAGAGACAGTATAAGAGCCATATTGTCTGTCCTAGCCATGCACAAGAAAGTTACCTGCAAACAAGAGGCTTGCTTCCACTGCTGGTGCTCAGTGATGGTTTGTGCTTTCCTGGCAGTGCTATAACCTGTCGACTTTCTGGATTTCCATGCTGGATGCGTTTTACCAGAGCCTCGTCTGTTTCTTCCTCCCTTACCTGGTAAGTCACACAGTACCATTCTAACCACACGAATCATTGTGTGGAGCTGGTCCTGTTTACAAGAAATTTCAGGCTGGTATTGTCTTCCTGGACATTCAGAGCAAAAGTTCAAAACAGGGAACCAGCAATTAGCATAATGGCTATGCCGCTAGACTCCCACGTAGTCAACCGCGGTTCAAGTCCCAGACACAGCAGCTTAAACTCACACCGGGCACGTGTGCGTGTGTGCCCAAGATCCTGAGAGGAGAATGGAAGAGAAGGGACTGCGGCATTGCCATGCCCCCTGGCGGGGGTGATTTCTCGCTTTCTGTCTCTCTGTCTCTCTGTCTTTCTGGCGAGCACATGCACCCAATAGCAAAAACTTCTCAAAAAAAAAAAGCTCGAAACAGTTGGTTTGCAGGCCACATCCAACCCAGGGTGTTTGAAAAGTCAGAATATTTTACCCTAACATCATAATTTCTAGTAGCTCTTGAAAAATGAGAAGTCATCATTACACCAGGTCATTTTACCCTCATGGCAAAATCCAGAGTTGCCTTGCAGCCCCTCCAGTTGACCACAGTACCCACAACCTCAATTGACTACTGGAAGTATATGGATTTGCAAGCCTTGCTTTATATTTAAATTTGTGCTTCTAAAGTCAAGGCAGCAAGTGTTCAAGCTGCAATTTCTAATAAGAGATACTACCTTACCTGAAATACACAGCAAGAATGCAGATAGAAAGGAATGCCAGCCCCAGCTCAATTTGACTCCCCAGTTTAAACAGTGAGAATTTAGATATCGAAAATATACCTGTAGTCCTGCTGCACAGGGGGCCAGGATGTGAGTAACTGCTACCAAGTAAAGAATGGTGCTTCCAGCCCCTGGCCTTAGTTCTTTTGCAATTAGAATAAGAAGAACATGAGGGTAGGGAGGGCAGGCATCAGGTGCTTTGTTGGAATTCCCTGGCTTACAATATCCTCCCTGATCAGATCTCTCCTTGCTTTTCCTTTCTTACCTACTTCCCTTTCATGTGCTCTAAGACCTACACATAAGACTCTGAAGATCTGCAAACCTACCAGGTGCAGCACCCTCAGTTCTAATCTTAACCTAAACAGCATTTCCCCCTCTTTGAAGTGATAACTCTTATTCTGACCTCAGCAGACATGGCCTCTTTTCTGTGTTCCCAGGATACCTTGTATTTGCCTATATTATGCCACTTACCCCATTAAACTGTACCACACCTACCTTGCCCAATTAACCATAAAAAAATTTGAAGTTAGACCCTGACTTGCACCATGCTTGGTGGGGGCTCAATAAACTCTTTCTTCATTCCACAACAGTTTTATATCCTCCACCTCAGCTCCCTCTGGCAAATATGTCTCTAAATAGTTCAGTCCTGTCAATCCACTTCTCATCTGGGTTTGTTCTTAGGTCAGTTCCTCATGGATGACAGGTGAGCATACCCTTTTCTCTCCCTGCACCTTCCCCTGTTGACACCTGCCTTCATTGATGCTTTATAATCCTGTGTCAAAGTCAAAACCTTAAGTCTACAGGCATGCCAGATAATACCTGTTTGTTCCTCCACTGTAGACCTACAAGGACTCTGATATCGATGTCTTTACCTTTGGGACGCCGATCAACACTGTCTCTCTTACCACAATCCTCTTGCACCAGGCAATGGAAATGAAGACATGGGTAAGGCTCTAGAAGCCCCTCTGACTTCAAAAACATATTCCTGTCCACTGACTACATTTGGATTTCTGATTTGTTTCCCCCTGTATTACTGACCTACTCAGTAAATACAGTGAGCTCTTACCAGTGTCCTACTTATAAAGAAGATGACAGAAGTCAAGAAGATAAAACCCCTGGCCTCAATTTGCTTATCATCTAGTTGGGATGATAAAACTAGATGTATGTGAGTATGTACGTGTCTGAAATTCCAAGAGGAGAAAAGAAGAGAAAGGATTGTGGCATGGCCATCCCCTCTAAGGGGGTGATTTCTCGCTTTCTCTCTCTCTCTCTCTCTCTCTCTCTCTCTGGTGAGCACATACACTCTACAGCAAAAATCTCTCTAAAAAAGGAAAAGAAACATTTTAAATGAGATTTGTGAGGTCTGTTCTAAATTGGACACCGGCAACAAATAAACTACCAAATTGTAAGGTAGTATTGGGAATTCATCTAGAATGCTACACATATTTGAAAAAGTAATTGAGAAAAATGGTGCCTAGTATAAATGGCTTCAGCATCCACATAATAGGAGTCAAAAGAGAAGACCAAGGAAAGAATGGAAGGGAAGAGATATTTGAAAAGATAAGCATGGAAAATGAAAAGTAATCAAAATAAATCTATTATACCTATATAATCTGAACGTATTGTAGTGAAACTGTGTAATGTAAAAGACACAGAGATGACTTGAAAAAGAAGAGCAGTTACACTGACAAAGAAAAAAAGAAAACATGGAGTAATTATCTTCAAAGACTTGAGAATTACTGAAAAATCTACACTATCACCTAAGAGTAGGGCAAATCTGAAACATAATTTTCACGTAAACAAAGTATGGGGTTTATCACCCACAGACCCACACAAAAAGAAGAAATGTAATTCAACAAGAACATTAAAGAACATAAAATCTAAAACTCTACAAAACTACATGATGCTGAGAGAGGACTTGCAATGGGTAGTTTACTTGTGCTAAAGCTTTCATCAGGGATAGGATGAGAATAGGAACACATCAGGTGCATGTGCATGCATTCCCAAAATTCCAGTAGGTTGGAGAAATAAAGGAGAAGGGATTATAATATCCCCATACCCCAATGGGAGGTGCTTTCTCCCTCTCCCTTTTTTTGTATCTCTCTCTCTCTCTCTCTCTCTGATAAGCACATGCTTCCTCTAGCAATTAAAGAAAAAGAAAAGAAAGACACAAGGATAAGCATTTCTTTTTTCATGACTAGAATAACTCTGGTACAAAAATGAACATAGACAATTCAAGGACAGAAAATTATAGCACAACCTCACTAATGAACATAAACATAAAAACTTCTAAATAAAATATTAGCAAATCAACTCAGCAGCGTATTAAAGATATGTCACAAGTAAGGAACTTTCATATCCTGTTAGTAGATTATAAACTTACATCACCACTCTGGAGAGTTATTTGAAAATAGCTAGAGAAGTCTAAAGTACTCATACACTATGACACAATTCCACTTCTAAGTAGGTACCCTGGGAATACTCTTGCACATGAAAAGAAAACATGGAGTAATTATCTTCAAAGACTTGAGAATTACTGAAAAATCTACACTATCACCTAAGAGTAGGGCAAATCTGAAACATAATTTTCACGTAAACAAAGTATGGGGTTTATCACCCACAGACCCACACAAAAAGAAGAAATGTAATTCAACAAGAACATTAAAGAACATAAAATCTAAAACTCTACAAAACTACATGATGCTGAGAGAGGACTTGCAATGGGTAGTTTACTTGTGCTAAAGCTTTCATCAGGGATAGGATGAGAATAGGAACACATCAGGTGCATGTGCATGCATTCCCAAAATTCCAGTAGGTTGGAGAAATAAAGGAGAAGGGATTATAATATCCCCATACCCCAATGGGAGGTGCTTTCTCCCTCTCCCTTTTTTTGTATCTCTCTCTCTCTCTCTCTCTCTCTCTCTCTCTGATAAGCACATGCTTCCTCTAGCAATTAAAGAAAAAGAAAAGAAAGACACAAGGATAAGCATTTCTTTTTTCATGACTAGAATAACTCTGGTACAAAAATGAACATAGACAATTCAAGGACAGAAAATTATAGCACAACCTCACTAATGAACATAAACATAAAAACTTCTAAATAAAATATTAGCAAATCAACTCAGCAGCGTATTAAAGATATGTCACAAGTAAGGAACTTTCATATCCTGTTAGTAGATTATAAACTTACATCACCACTCTGGAGAGTTATTTGAAAATAGCTAGAGAAGTCTAAAGTACTCATACACTATGACACAATTCCACTTCTAAGTAGGTACCCTGGGAATACTCTTGCACATGGATATAAGGAAAAATATACAATCTTTGTTACAACCTAGATCTTTGTAATAAAAGAAAAAAATTGGAAGTATCCTAAATATTCATCCACAGGACATAAATAAATTGTGGCATATTCATACAATAAAATAGTTAAAAATGAATAAACTAGACCTTTATTCTATCAACATAGATAAAATTCTGAAGTATTAGGTAAAGTGAAAAACACCTGCAGAACTGCATAATAAATATCACAGACTGGATGGCTTGAATATTAGCATTGTACTTTTCATGGTTCTGGAAGCTGGAAGTCTAAGATCAGTGTGCTGGGTGACACACTGTCTGGTAAGGGCGCTCTCCTTGACTTGTAAACAGCTTCCTTCTAGCTATATTCTCAAGTGATCAAGAGAGGAAGACAGAGATCATCTCTCTCAAGTATCTATAAGTGCTCAAATCTCATTCATGAGGGCTCCACCCCATGACCTGATTACCCCTAAAGGCTCCATTCTAAACACTATTACATTGAAAATTAGAATTTTAGCATATATATTTGGAGAGAACACAAATATTTAGTCTTAGTAAGAAGGAAGCATATATATAATAAAGTAAAAAAGCACCCATAAACATGGATACATAAAAATATTTGAGAGGACTTCAAAAAGTTTGTGGGAAAATGGCATTAAAGTATGACTTTATTTTGGGGCAAAAAAAAATTTTTTTTGAAATTCTGGGCCAGGTTTGTCACACAATGGTTAAGTCCTATGTACAGGAAGCTGGATTCCACAAGGCTGACTGCTGTCCAATTTCCAGCCCTGGCACCTTGAGAAATCCACCCACAAATGCATGCATGTCCAAAATTCTGACAGGATGGAGAAATGAAGAAGGAATTATCACATGGCCAAGACTCATCAGGGAGTTCTCTCTTTCTCCCTCTCTCCTAATTGCATGCACCCCCTGGCAATAAAGTATATATACATAAATTTGAAATCCATGAATAGTTTTTATATAATATGCATTTTCCATGAATTTTGAAGGCACTTTGTATGTATAAAACATGCATAAGAATTACGAATACTGAATTTATTGTCAAGATCAAACAGAAGTTAGTGAGGAATACATTGATACTTTCATTGTATCTGTAAGACTTAATCTTTTCATAAAATCCAAAGCAAATACACCCTAAAGTTAAAACTGATGAAACCGGATATTGGGTTTTGAGTTTCATTATTTATGTGTTTTAAATAGTTCACAGTAATTTAATTCCTTTCAAAAACAGAGGGATCAGCAGATGGCAGAATGGTTACATCACTAGATTCCCACATAATCCACCACGGTTTGAGTCCCAGACCCTGGCTTAAAATTCACCGCAGGTGTATGTGCATGCATGCACAGAATTCTGAGAGGAGAATGGAGAAAGGATTGTGGCATGGTCATCCTCCCTGGGGGTGATTTTCACTTTCCATCTCTCGGTGTCTCTCTGTCTCTCTAGCCACCTCATGCACCCCATAGCAAAAATCTCTCTTAAAAAAGTATATACATATTTCCCAAAAGGATCCATGTTCTCTATGACCCTTTTAATTATTACATATTTTTTAACCTTTCCAAATGCCCTGAAAAATTTAATCAGGCCTCAACTGTGTATTAGATAGATGGTGAGACTAAAGATTCTCTAGCCTTTTATAACTGGTGACTCAGTTCTTTTCCTTTCTTTCTTTCTTTTTTGTTTTTTTTTTTTAATTTGCCAGAGAAAAAGGGAAAAGGAAATTGAGAAAGCAACCCCCTATGGGGAATGGCCATGCCATAATCCCTTCTCCTCCATTTCTCCCTTCTCTCCAGACTTTGGGTGTACATGCAAATACATGCGCACATGCACCTGGTGAGTTTTTCAAGTCATAGGATCCAGGACTAAAATTGTGCAGTTGGCTATGTAGAATCCAGCTGCCTTAACCACTACACCATCAACTAGACCAGGTCAGCCCTTTTTCTCAAAGCACTGCATTTGTCTGCTTTAAAATACAGAAATATTCTCTTAGCTTTATTAGTCCACCAATTGCATCTCTAGACCAAGTATCCCAGTAGTTACTAGTGATTTCTAATGCTGTTGGGAAATGAGTCATCTACAAAAATCACTATAAAAACTAGATTTCTTGAAAGTACTTGAAGGAAAATCTATTTCTCCCCTGGGCAGAAATAGAACAAAAGTTTCAACAGTTGTGTCAGTTTACACAATTCCCATCAAAGCAATTAAAAAAGTTAGCTAACTGATTTTTCCTTCAGGAATGAAGGCTAGATTATCGAGATCATCTCTACCTCTGAAAGCAAATAGAATACAAGAACAGAACATTTGGGGTTTGGATAGCAGTACAGTGATAAATTTTGATGCTCTGAGAGGCTGTCTCACATGGGGAGAGTCCAAGTTTTCATCCAGAAACTTCCTTGAGAGTGTCTATGGAATTTGTGTGCCCATGATTCAGAGCTGGCTGAAGCTGGAGGGAAAGGGTAGCATCAAAACACTGTTAGTGTGACCTGTCTGTCTGTCTGTCTGTCTGTCTGTCTCTCTCTCTCTCTCTCGGAAGAAATAATTTTTTAAGACATTTAGAAATTTTAAAAATCATAATTTAAATTTCAAAGGTTGACTTACTCACAAATTAGACAAGGCTAAGACAAGAACTAGTAAATTGGTCAAAAGAAATTATCCAAACTATAAATAGGAAAAATAATAAAAAATTATAAAATAAGTTTTAAGAAATATAGAAGATAGAGTTATATCTGAAAAGGCTAATATATATTTGATTAGACTCAGAAAGAAATAAGAGACCAAAACAGGCAATATTTTGAAAAGACTATGTTGAGAATTTTGCAGAACCGAAAAAAAAAGATAACGATCCACAGATTCAAGGTCAACAAAACCAAAGAAAGAATTTTTTTAAATACCCACACATTTATTATATCATAAGGAAACTATAGAGCAAAAATGACAACACAAAAATCATAAAATCAGGCAGAATTTAAGAGATAAATATCTGCTGATAAGGAACAACAGATAAGAAGATGGATAATTTTCAGTAGCAACAATGGAATTTAGAAGACACTAGAATGCTCTCTTAAATATGCTGGGGAAAAAAATCCGCCAAACAAAAATTCTGTATTATTCAAAAATATCTCTCAAGAATGAGAATGAGATAAAGCATGAGACTGTATCACCAGCAGAGTTCCACGAAAGGAAATTCTAATTGTGTACTTAAAGCAAAAGGAAAGATATCTCAAATCGAGGGTCTAAGATGCAAAGAGAAATGAAGATATGGAATAAGATAAACACCTAAGTAAGTCTTAATGAATATTGGTCATATTGCTGAGAGGAGAATGGAGAAAGGATTGTGGCATGGTCATCCTCCCTGGGGGTGATTTTCACTTTCCATCTCTCGGTGTCTCTCTGTCTCTCTAGCCACCTCATGCACCCCATAGCAAAAATCTCTCTTAAAAAAGTATATACATATTTCCCAAAAGGATCCATGTTCTCTATGACCCTTTTAATTATTACATATTTTTTAACCTTTCCAAATTCCCTGAAAAATTTAATCAGGCCTCAACTGTGTATTAGATAGATGGTGAGACTAAAGATTCTCTAGCCTTTTATAACTGGTGACTCAGTTCTTTTCCTTTCTTTCTTTCTTTTTTGTTTTTTTTTTTTAATTTGCCAGAGAAAAAGGGAAAAGGAAATTGAGAAAGCAACCCCCTATGGGGAATGGCCATGCCATAATCCCTTCTCCTCCATTTCTCCCTTCTCTCCAGACTTTGGGTGTACATGCAAATACATGCGCACATGCACCTGGTGAGTTTTTCAAGTCATAGGATCCAGGACTAAAATTGTGCAGTTGGCTATGTAGAATCCAGCTGCCTTAACCACTACACCATCAACTAGACCAGGTCAGCCCTTTTTCTCAAAGCACTGCATTTGTCTGCTTTAAAATACAGAAATATTCTCTTAGCTTTATTAGTCCACCAATTGCATCTCTAGACCAAGTATCCCAGTAGTTACTAGTGATTTCTAATGCTGTTGGGAAATGAGTCATCTACAAAAATCACTATAAAAACTAGATTTCTTGAAAGTACTTGAAGGAAAATCTATTTCTCCCCTGGGCAGAAATAGAACAAAAGTTTCAACAGTTGTGTCAGTTTACACAATTCCCATCAAAGCAATTAAAAAAGTTAGCTAACTGATTTTTCCTTCAGGAATGAAGGCTAGATTATCGAGATCATCTCTACCTCTGAAAGCAAATAGAATACAAGAACAGAACATTTGGGGTTTGGATAGCAGTACAGTGATAAATTTTGATGCTCTGAGAGGCTGTCTCACATGGGGAGAGTCCAAGTTTTCATCCAGAAACTTCCTTGAGAGTGTCTATGGAATTTGTGTGCCCATGATTCAGAGCTGGCTGAAGCTGGAGGGAAAGGGTAGCATCAAAACACTGTTAGTGTGACCTGTCTGTCTGTCTGTCTGTCTGTCTGTCTCTCTCTCTCTCTCTCGGAAGAAATAATTTTTTAAGACATTTAGAAATTTTAAAAATCATAATTTAAATTTCAAAGGTTGACTTACTCACAAATTAGACAAGGCTAAGACAAGAACTAGTAAATTGGTCAAAAGAAATTATCCAAACTATAAATAGGAAAAATAATAAAAAATTATAAAATAAGTTTTAAGAAATATAGAAGATAGAGTTATATCTGAAAAGGCTAATATATATTTGATTAGACTCAGAAAGAAATAAGAGACCAAAACAGGCAATATTTTGAAAAGACTATGTTGAGAATTTTGCAGAACCGAAAAAAAAAGATAACGATCCACAGATTCAAGGTCAACAAAACCAAAGAAAGAATTTTTTTAAATACCCACACATTTATTATATCATAAGGAAACTATAGAGCAAAAATGACAACACAAAAATCATAAAATCAGGCAGAATTTAAGAGATAAATATCTGCTGATAAGGAACAACAGATAAGAAGATGGATAATTTTCAGTAGCAACAATGGAATTTAGAAGACACTAGAATGCTCTCTTAAATATGCTGGGGAAAAAAATCCGCCAAACAAAAATTCTGTATTATTCAAAAATATCTCTCAAGAATGAGAATGAGATAAAGCATGAGACTGTATCACCAGCAGAGTTCCACGAAAGGAAATTCTAATTGTGTACTTAAAGCAAAAGGAAAGATATCTCAAATCGAGGGTCTAAGATGCAAAGAGAAATGAAGATATGGAATAAGATAAACACCTAAGTAAGTCTTAATGAATATTGGTCATATTGAAATATTAAATATTAAATTAATATTTATATCAACTTATATTAATATTAAAAACAATAAAGATGAAGTGTGATTTTAAACGACGGTAGAATTAAAACAGGTAACAGCAATAGTGCATAAGTCAGGAGGGAGGTGAACAGATTTAAGTGCTCTAAAGCATTGTATAATTTGGGAGGAAGAAAAAGCGGTTTAGTTTAGCCTGCAGAGAGTTCAGATTGCTTGTTGTCATTTATTGAGTAATCACTAACAGGATGGAGTAAGTAACTTCCAAACTAGTAAAGAGGGAAAATAAAATTATACATAACATTCCATGTGTTTAAAATAAGATAAGGGTGGGAACAAATGAACAGAAAGCATTCTCTTTCTTTCACTCAAGAAAGAGAAGTACAGGGAACCAGCAGTTAGCATAATGGCTATGTCGCTGGACTCCCACGTAGTCGACCGCGGTTCGCGTCCTGGACCCGGTGACTTAAAACTCACGCCGGGCGTGTGTGCGTACGTGCCCAAGATCCTGAGAGGAGAATGGAGGAGAAGGGATTGCGGTGTGGCCATCCCCTCTGGGGGGTGATTTCTCGCTTTCTGTCTCTATGTCTCTCTCTGTCTGTCTGGCGAGCGCACGCGGCCTATAGCAGGAAAAAAAAATGAAAAAGAAAGAGAAGTACAAAGCAACAGGACAAAGTAAGATCAGACAATAGAACACTGTGCTACTTTGAAAACAAAACACTGCCACACGTGGGAAAAACTAATTTATCACATAAATATAATACTGAAGAAGGAAAAATATCACAAAATGATATTCTGTTTATCCAGCATTTAAAGACAGGCTATAGAAGGAAATCTAAAGAAGTAGTAAAGCTACAAAGGCTCATGGGGAAATTATCACCAAAATCTGGGGTGAAACAAGATTTAGAGGTTTCTGGGATATGTGTATTCAAATTCTGGGTGGCAGCAACCTGGGTGTTTGCTTTATAAGGATCCATTAAACTGCATACTTTTCTGAATCTTTTGACGATGTGTTGTATTTCAAAAAATTAGTTAGCCAAGTAGCATAAGTAGTTAGCCAAGTAGCATAAGTGCACTGCCCCGTAATTTATAACTTCAATAGCATTCATTTCTTCTTTCCTTCCACAGACCATCATCCACGGGCTTGTCCTCCTAGGCAGCTTCCTGATGTATTTTGTGGTGACCCTACTCTACAACGCCACCTGCATTACCTGCAACAGTCCCACCAACCCCTACTGGGTGATGGAGAGGCAGCTCTCAGACCCCACTTTCTACCTCGTCTGCTTCCTCACACCAGTTGTGGCTCTTCTCCCAAGGTTTGAGCACTCAGGCTGTTTCTTTCCCAGAACAAGCAATTTTTCATTAATAAGCTGTTTCTATAACCCAAGAATCAGGATTTGACTCCTAGTGGGATTCTTAAGTCAGCTACTACAGGGACGGGATTCAAAGAAAGAACAATGAACCAAGAGACACGTAACATGGACTCCAGTCAGACACAGAGTAGCAAAGACACTAAATCAGCATGGCCTCAGTTGTGATATCTGTAAAATGGGAATAATAATTCTTACCCCCCTCCCCTGTCTTCTGAATTTGCTTAAGTAATAAGGAGTCATTTTGAAACATTGTATGGTGTCGTATTTATTAGCTCAGGAGTCTCACACTGAAATACCTACAGAGACAAGCAAGCAACCACAGCAAGCCACGTGAGGCAAAAATTTCTCAGCTTCTTCTATCATTATCACAGGAAATGTCAAGTGAAGCTTTCCAGAGCTTCAGAAATTTAAATTTTGCATGAGATAACCAACTTCTTAATACTACTTAAATTTGTTTAACACACACACACACACACACACACACACCATATGAATTCTATGTTAGCCAAGTAAATCATCCAAGCTCAGGGAGTACTTCTGACATTGGTAAACTAAGCTGTCTACATTCACCTCTTCCAGAAAACTGGCAACAGCAACAACAATAGGCCTTACTTGTCCCTGAGGTGCACTCTTGACACATGTTCTCCTATATAGCCTCTCTTTTTGCTTTCTCTATCAGCTAAAAATTAGGCAGAACTATGATTCTAGTCCTACTTCCTCATGAAATGACTGAGATACCAAGAGGAACTGGTATGTATCCATAAGCCTACCACATATCACAGCAGGAACTAAAGTCTCCCAACTCGCAGGCCAATGTTCCATTCTCTATTCCAACTCTCTAGTCAAAGCAATCAGGGAATCTGACAATGACATATCCATAGGCCACATCAGTCTCTCTATCCCCCGAGTCTCAACACTCCGAAGATGGAAATTCAGTCACTTTGCTAATAAGGTATAGTCAACAGGCAATCTCAGCATTGTACAGAACTGTTTCTATCTGGAAATCAGGCAGAGCCAACAAGTCCTGCTTCCTTTCATGTTCAGCAGATTCCCTAACCAGTTTTGAACTCATTTTCCTCTTCCTAAGCCACCTCAGAACATGGACCTCTGATGCAGGGTTTGGGGCTAAAATACCAAAATGGCAAATTCCAGTGGAGTCAGTAAAGTCCATAAACATTGGTCAAGTTCCAAGTTCTTGACCTTCCTGATTGACTCCTACTAGTCTCTATCGCTTCATCTCCCTACCTGCTCCACACCATTGAGATGCCTGTACCTCCCTAAAGGCCTCAGGCCCTCTCACCTTCCTGCCTTTGTTCATACTGTTCCTTCTATTTGGAATGTCCTTCCTATTACCAACTCCCCACCCTTAGATATCATGGCAGGCATGACCAATTCCAGAAGTTCTGGACTTCCTTAGGCTCAAATAGGTCCCTCTCTCATATGTCTCCATCACTTGGATATATCTATCACTACCTTTTCATCATTTATTATAATTATTATCTGTTTGTATCCACCTATCAACTCCAGGAGAGAACGTACCCTCCTTATCTTTATTTAACCATTACCTGGCACAGTTCTTTTCACACAGCCTGCATTCAGAGATGAATGGTCAATGGATGTTTAAGGAACCGAAAGGTTAATGCCCTTGCTCTTAAGAAACCTACAATCAGGACCAGCAGTTGGCATAATGGCTATGTTGATAGACTCCCATGTAGTTGACTGTGGTTTGAATCCTGGACCCAGTGGCTTAAATTCATACCGGGCATGTGTCCATGCATGCCCAAGATCCCAAAAGGAGAATGGAGGAGAAGGGATTGCGGCGTGGCCATGCCCCCTGGGGGGTGATTTCTCACTTTCTGTCTCTCTGTTTCTCTGTCTTTCTGGAAAACGCACGTGCCCTATATAAAAAAAAAAAAAAAAAAAAGCCATAAATAGGAAAAATAATAAAAAATTATAAAATAAGTTTTAAGAAATATAGAAGATAGAGTTATATCTGAAAAGGCTAATATATATTTGATTAGACTCAGAAAGAAATAAGAGACCAAAACAGGCAATATTTTGAAAAGACTATGTTGAGAATTTTGCAGAACCGAAAAAAAAAGATAACGATCCACAGATTCAAGGTCAACAAAACCAAAGAAAGAATTTTTTTAAATACCCACACATTTATTATATCATAAGGAAACTATAGAGCAAAAATGACAACACAAAAATCATAAAATCAGGCAGAATTTAAGAGATAAATATCTGCTGATAAGGAACAACAGATAAGAAGATGGATAATTTTCAGTAGCAACAATGGAATTTAGAAGACACTAGAATGCTCTCTTAAATATGCTGGGGAAAAAAATCCGCCAAACAAAAATTCTGTATTATTCAAAAATATCTCTCAAGAATGAGAATGAGATAAAGCATGAGACTGTATCACCAGCAGAGTTCCACGAAAGGAAATTCTAATTGTGTACTTAAAGCAAAAGGAAAGATATCTCAAATCGAGGGTCTAAGATGCAAAGAGAAATGAAGATATGGAATAAGATAAACACCTAAGTAAGTCTTAATGAATATTGGTCATATTGAAATATTAAATATTAAATTAATATTTATATCAACTTATATTAATATTAAAAACAATAAAGATGAAGTGTGATTTTAAACGACGGTAGAATTAAAACAGGTAACAGCAATAGTGCATAAGTCAGGAGGGAGGTGAACAGATTTAAGTGCTCTAAAGCATTGTATAATTTGGGAGGAAGAAAAAGCGGTTTAGTTTAGCCTGCAGAGAGTTCAGATTGCTTGTTGTCATTTATTGAGTAATCACTAACAGGATGGAGTAAGTAACTTCCAAACTAGTAAAGAGGGAAAATAAAATTATACATAACATTCCATGTGTTTAAAATAAGATAAGGGTGGGAACAAATGAACAGAAAGCATTCTCTTTCTTTCACTCAAGAAAGAGAAGTACAGGGAACCAGCAGTTAGCATAATGGCTATGTCGCTGGACTCCCACGTAGTCGACCGCGGTTCGCGTCCTGGACCCGGTGACTTAAAACTCACGCCGGGCGTGTGTGCGTACGTGCCCAAGATCCTGAGAGGAGAATGGAGGAGAAGGGATTGCGGTGTGGCCATCCCCTCTGGGGGGTGATTTCTCGCTTTCTGTCTCTATGTCTCTCTCTGTCTGTCTGGCGAGCGCACGCGGCCTATAGCAGGAAAAAAAAATGAAAAAGAAAGAGAAGTACAAAGCAACAGGACAAAGTAAGATCAGACAATAGAACACTGTGCTACTTTGAAAACAAAACACTGCCACACGTGGGAAAAACTAATTTATCACATAAATATAATACTGAAGAAGGAAAAATATCACAAAATGATATTCTGTTTATCCAGCATTTAAAGACAGGCTATAGAAGGAAATCTAAAGAAGTAGTAAAGCTACAAAGGCTCATGGGGAAATTATCACCAAAATCTGGGGTGAAACAAGATTTAGAGGTTTCTGGGATATGTGTATTCAAATTCTGGGTGGCAGCAACCTGGGTGTTTGCTTTATAAGGATCCATTAAACTGCATACTTTTCTGAATCTTTTGACGATGTGTTGTATTTCAAAAAATTAGTTAGCCAAGTAGCATAAGTAGTTAGCCAAGTAGCATAAGTGCACTGCCCCGTAATTTATAACTTCAATAGCATTCATTTCTTCTTTCCTTCCACAGACCATCATCCACGGGCTTGTCCTCCTAGGCAGCTTCCTGATGTATTTTGTGGTGACCCTACTCTACAACGCCACCTGCATTACCTGCAACAGTCCCACCAACCCCTACTGGGTGATGGAGAGGCAGCTCTCAGACCCCACTTTCTACCTCGTCTGCTTCCTCACACCAGTTGTGGCTCTTCTCCCAAGGTTTGAGCACTCAGGCTGTTTCTTTCCCAGAACAAGCAATTTTTCATTAATAAGCTGTTTCTATAACCCAAGAATCAGGATTTGACTCCTAGTGGGATTCTTAAGTCAGCTACTACAGGGACGGGATTCAAAGAAAGAACAATGAACCAAGAGACACGTAACATGGACTCCAGTCAGACACAGAGTAGCAAAGACACTAAATCAGCATGGCCTCAGTTGTGATATCTGTAAAATGGGAATAATAATTCTTACCCCCCTCCCCTGTCTTCTGAATTTGCTTAAGTAATAAGGAGTCATTTTGAAACATTGTATGGTGTCGTATTTATTAGCTCAGGAGTCTCACACTGAAATACCTACAGAGACAAGCAAGCAACCACAGCAAGCCACGTGAGGCAAAAATTTCTCAGCTTCTTCTATCATTATCACAGGAAATGTCAAGTGAAGCTTTCCAGAGCTTCAGAAATTTAAATTTTGCATGAGATAACCAACTTCTTAATACTACTTAAATTTGTTTAACACACACACACACACACACACACACACCATATGAATTCTATGTTAGCCAAGTAAATCATCCAAGCTCAGGGAGTACTTCTGACATTGGTAAACTAAGCTGTCTACATTCACCTCTTCCAGAAAACTGGCAACAGCAACAACAATAGGCCTTACTTGTCCCTGAGGTGCACTCTTGACACATGTTCTCCTATATAGCCTCTCTTTTTGCTTTCTCTATCAGCTAAAAATTAGGCAGAACTATGATTCTAGTCCTACTTCCTCATGAAATGACTGAGATACCAAGAGGAACTGGTATGTATCCATAAGCCTACCACATATCACAGCAGGAACTAAAGTCTCCCAACTCGCAGGCCAATGTTCCATTCTCTATTCCAACTCTCTAGTCAAAGCAATCAGGGAATCTGACAATGACATATCCATAGGCCACATCAGTCTCTCTATCCCCCGAGTCTCAACACTCCGAAGATGGAAATTCAGTCACTTTGCTAATAAGGTATAGTCAACAGGCAATCTCAGCATTGTACAGAACTGTTT